AGTTAATCCCAGTCCATTCCCAGTTGCTCCCAGTCCATTCCCAGTTGCTCCCAGTCCATTCCCAGTTAATCCCAGTTAATCCCAGTTGCTCCCAGTTCATCCCAGTTGCTCCCAGTCCATTCCCAGTTGCTCCCAGTTCATCCCAGTTGCTCCCAGTCCATTCCCAGTTGCTCCCAGTTCATCCCAGTTGCTCCCAGTCCCTCTCGGCTCCCTCCCAGTCCCTCCCAGTTTGCCCCGGGGCCGTTCGGGCTCTCCCAGTTGCTCCCAGTTGGCCCCGGTCCCAAACTGGGAGGGACTGGGAGGGGCCGTGCTGAATCAGCACCTTCGGGGCCCGCCGGACTGGGGCGCTCCCAGTTCATCCCAGTTCAGACCAGTCCATCCCAGTCCATCCCAGTTCATCCCAGTTCATCCCAGTTCATCCCAGTTCAGCCCAGTTCAGCCCAGTTCATCCCAGTTCAGCCCAGTTCAGCCCCCCAGTGCCTCCCAGTTCAGCCCAGTATCTTCCAGTTCCCTCCCTGTGCTCCCAGTTCAGACCAGTTCGGGCCAGTGACCCCTCCCAGTCCATCCCAGTTGCTCCCAGTTCATCCCAGTGACCCCGTGACCCCTTCCAGTTCTCCCAGTTCATCCCAGTCCATCCCAGTTCCCTCCCAGTCCCTCCCAGTTCCCTCCCAGTCCATACCAGTTTGTCCCAGTATCCTCCAGTTGCCTCCCAGTTGCCCCCAGACTCCTCCCAGTGCTCCCAGTTCACACCAGTAACTCCTCCCAGTTCATCCCAGTAACGCCCAGTCCCTCCCAGTTCCCTCCCAGTCTATCCCAGTTCATCCCAGTTGCTCCCAGTTCACCCCAGTGACCCCTCCCAGTCCATCCCAGTAACTCCCAGTTCCCTCCCAGTTCACACCAGTAACTCCCCTGTTCTCTCCCAGTCCCTCCCAGTATAAACCAGTTCCCTCCCAGTTCCTCCCACACCCCTCCCAGTGCTCCCAGTTCATCCCAGTGCTCCCAGTAACCCCTCAGACCCCTCCCAGTCCATCCCAGTCCATCCCAGTATCCTCCAGTTCCCTCCCAGTAGCCCCCAGACTCCTCCCAGTAACTCCCAGTTCAGACCAGTAACTCCTCCCGGTGCTTCCAGTTCAAACCAGTAATGCCCAGTTCCCTCCCAGTTCATCCCAGTGACCCCGTGACCCCTCCCAGTCCATCCCAGTCACTCCCAGTTCATCCCAGTTTCTTTCCATTCCCTCCCAGTCCATCCCAGTTCAAACCAGTATCTCCTCCCAGTGCTCCCAGTATTCTCCAGTTCTCTCCCAGTCCATCCCAGTTCCCTCCCAGTTGCTCCCAGTTCAGCCCAGTAACCCCATAACCCCTTCCAGTTCTTCCAGTTCCCTCCCAGTTCAGCCCAGTTCATCCCAGTTTGGGCCA